TGCGGCTCTCAAGCCACCGAAAAGCTGCCGTTTCTGCCTCCACCTCCATTCTCATACTTGATGTCGTTGAAGAAGAAATCTACTAGAGAGGCAGAATTATTTTCCATTCAGCCTCTTTAAAATGGGTAACGCAATTTCCAGTTGTTATAGGAATTGTCTGCAAATGAGAAGCTTTGAGAAATGGAAGCAGTCTCTACAACTCGCATGATGTGGCCAAGACTGTGTGGAGACAAATACTTCACTTCCAGCGACAGTATCTGACTGCAGTAACAACACACGCCACAGTTGTAACACAGAACGATAGAGCATATTACTGGTACCATTTCAAAGAAAGCTAGTTGTTAACAAGAGGAAGAGGAGCGGCTGGTTGAACGGTTAGAAAGCTAGGCTTTTATGCGGGAGACCTGGGTTCCAACCCTCGGTGAGCCTGGGGATTTCTTCTGTCAGAGGAAAAAACATCGTGGCGACAGCACTAGCCATGCGGACGCGAATTCTCAGGCTCATAGAGCCCCCTCCTTCTCCCGACCTGTACCGCAAAAGTGGTACATAAAGGCAGTAATTGGCAGTTTAACAAGAGGAATGATGTTAATTTTCAATATTTTCGGATTCCTTGGTTATTTCAGAGAGAGGTTTTATTAATAATAACAATGTATTCGTGATTTGTTAAAATGCATTCTCCCAACAGCACAACCATGAAAGCTGAAAAACAATAAAGTCACCCTTGACAATATAAACCTAATGAAGTTTATTTCTGTACCCGCTTCTATTTTTTTTTTTCAATGTGATACTGAGGTCTCCATAGAAACAAAGTAGGTGTCAACAATGTGATACTGAGGTCTCCAGAGAAACAAAGTAGATGTCAACAATGTGATACTGAGGTCTCCACAGAAACAAAGTAGGTGTCAACAATGTGATACTGAGGTCTCCAGAGAAACAAAGTAGATGTCACCAATGTGATACCGAGGTCTCCAGAGAAACAAAGTAGATGTCAACAATGTGATACTGAGGTCTCCACAGAAACAAAGTAGATGTCAACAATGTGATACTGAGGTCTCCAGAGAAACAAAGTAGATGTCACCAATGGCTTTAAAAAAAAAAGAGGAACATCAATGAAATAACTGAGGTAAAAATATGAAAAGATTACAGGAAAAGTAAACACTTAAACCTTGTAATATAATTAATAACTTACTACCTGGATGTGGATTGGAACACATTTAGTTTTTAGAAATAGAAGGGGGAAAATGCATTGAAGCAAATATTCGTGCGTTTCATGAGGTAGATTTCTTCCATGTTGAACTGAAGACTTGAGGTAGGGCAGTCACTGTAACACTTCATGCGTTTCTTCCATGTTAAACTGAGGTAGGGCAGTCACTGTAACACTTCATGCATTTCTTCCATGTTAAACTGAGGTAAGGCAGTCACTGTAACACTTCATGCATTTCTTCCATGTTAAACTGAGGTAAGGCAGTCACTGTAACACTTCATGCGTTTCTTCCATGTTACACTGAGGTAAGGTAGTCACTGTAACACTTCATGCATTTCTTCCATGTTACACTGAGGTAAGGTAGTCACTGTAACACTTCATGCATTTCTTCCATGTTACACTGAGGTAAGGTAGTCACTGTAACACTTCATGCATTTCTTCCATGTTACACTGAGGTAAGGTAGTCACTGTAACACTTCATGCATTTCTTCCATGTTACACTGAGGTAAGGTAGTCACTGTAACACTTCATGCATTTCTTCCATGTTACACTGAGGTAAGGTAGTCACTGTAACACTTCATGCATTTCTTCCATGTTTATCTGAGCACTTGAGGTAGGTTCCGAAATAGGTGAGCTACTAGAACACTTCACTGGTGTTTCTACACCGAGGACATTAATTCTATCCACCCTTTCCATAAAGCATTGATTTAAACTAATTTACTGCAGTTCTAGGTAAATGTTGTCTAAATAAAATGGGAAATGTTTGTGCTGGTGTCATTATGAAATCCACATAACAGATATGCCAGCTGGCGGATGTTCTTGCTGAAAATGTTTTATTGCCAATATTTCCCTTGCCTTCAATATCTGTAATATTTCCAATGTCTGCTCAGAAGGAATTAGAATCTTGAGAGCATGCGTCTTCCCTCTGGCTACATATGGATGTGAGTCGTGGACTATCTCTCAGTCCTGAAGAAACAAAATTGGGGCTTTTGAGCTGAAATGCTATAGAAAGATTCTCAGAATATCTTGGACAAAGAGGATGAGAAATATTGACATCTTGAAAGATCTGAACATCAATGAAGATTGGCTAATAAACAGCATCCTTTCTCGAAAGGTGAAATATTTTGGTCATGTCAAGCGCCACGACGGATTGGAAAAAAGTATAGCAGAAGGCATGGTACCAGGAAGGAGGGGCAGGGGCCGACCGACACGAAGATGGGCACATGATATAAGTGAATCCTTGAGTGTGAAAGTGCATGAGGCGGGAGAACTGGCAAGAGACCGAGTTTCTTTCAG